CTGGCGAGTCTCACCAGAGTCTCCTCACACTGTGAGCAGTTTATTAAGTACGAGTGTTATCATTCGTTCTTCACCCACAGCGGAACTATTTTTGCCTGGTGGGTGTCAAGTGATTCTAGTAAGATGACGTACTGGGGCGGAGCAACACCTGGCAGTGGTAAGTGCGCATGCGGGATGACCAACTCATGTGCAAATCCCAGTTATGGTTGTAACTGTGATATAAATGACCAAGTATGGCGAGAAGACAGCGGTCTCCTCACTGACAAGACTCATCTGCCGGTTAAACAGCTCAGGTTTGGGGATACTGGTACTAGTTACCTCAGCGAGCAAGGTTACCACACACTGGGAAAACTGAAATGTTATGGCATAGCATGAACACTGTCATCTTGAAATAAGTTTCTTTGCATTAGATTATCACTTTGAAGAATGTCTGGCCATGTTCAGCATTCGTATAATCATAAGGTTACGTTTGTACTGATTTACCATTTCGTAGCAGAAAAAAGCGCAAGTGAGGGTAAAAATACAGTAGAATCTCGATTTTTCGAACCCCGCGTACCTCGAACCAAAAGTCGTTTTCCTCCCGTCAGTTGAACACTGTAATTTCACCCCNGTAACTGTGATAAGAATGACCAAGTATGGCGTGAAGACAGCGGTCTCCTTACTGACAAGACACATCTGCCGGTTAAACAGCTCAGGTTTGGGGATACAGCCGATAGCGGTGAGCAAGGTTACCACACACTGGGAAAACTGAAATGTTATGGCATAGCATGAACACTATCATCTTGAAATAAGTTTCTTTGCATTAGATTATCAGTTTGAAGAACGTCCGGCGATGTTCAGCATTCGTATAATCATAAGGTTACGTTTGGACTGATTTACCATTTTGTAGCAGAAAAAAGCGCAAGTGAGGGTAAAAATACAGTAGAATCTCGATTTTTCGAACCCCGCGTACCTCGAACCAAAAGTCGTTTTCCTCCCGTCAGTTGAACACTGTAATTTTACCCCCGATTTTTCAAACCAATTTTTATTTCCCTTGGAGGTTCGCAAAATCGGTATTCCAAAGTCGGTTTGTTTGCTTTTCACTCGGTCAACATAACATAAGACAAGGAAACTCCGTACCACTTAGTGACAACCGTGAAAAAAAGAATAAAACGAGGGACTACTTGTTCAAGCTGTTTTGTTTTCAGTCTAATTTCATTGTACACCCACTGAATTTCTTTACAGAGTTCCAAGCTGTAACGGTTTCGGTGATCACGTATCCACCCTTTTTGACCAGAAGAACGTTAGCTTGCACTCCAGTGGCTCGAGTGAATCACTCTACTTGTGTTTCCTAGCTCCTCATTCTCCGTAGAGGAGTAAATAAGTCCACGGCAGCCTCACATAAAACCACCTGCAGACATCACATGAGAACTGCTGCTACGTTTCAGTAACTCCTTTTCAAAGAAAAAAAAATGTCCTATATTTTATCCTTGTTTTGCAGGTCACTACATTATTTGAAATGCGTTATAAATGTTCCTTTGCTACTGAATTTCGATAGCCTATTCACTAATCACTAAAACCTGAACATTTGAGACCAGTCAAAATGAGCAAAGCCACTACTTCGCCGAATGCTTTTTGATAAAGTTGATGAGACCATTGGTGGAAGAGTCGTGTGACGTCACTGGTTCAGGTCCCTCCAGTTCTGGCTGAATTGCTTTAGCGAGCTGTTTGCCTAATTCAACTCTGCAAGAAAAAGGGTGTTTTGTAAGGAGAAATTCTAGCTGACTGGGCGAGATTGGTTTGATGTTTAAAATACAGTCGAACCCGTATTAAGGGCTTAATAGGGGTTGGTCGCGTAATAGGGGTTCGTGTACTTTGAATATTTTTTGGATTGGGTTAATTTCTTAGTGAACATTGGATCGCGCAAGACAATCTTAATAAACGTGTGTTGTAATGTTTTTATCAGTCGACAAATTCTACTTCGGATTCTTACCTGCCATCGTCTTTTCCGAAACAAAGTTAATTTACGCGTATTAAATTTTGGGTGGCCGCTTAAAAGGGGTGAGGACAATAGAGAACCCCTTTATCAGAACGACCAAAGGATGGTCGCGGCCGCTTAATACTGAGAGGTGGCCCGGTAATAGGGGTTTTAATTTACAGTATTTTACTGGTGACTTCGATATCTGGCCTCTTAATTGGGGGTGGTCGCTTGATAGGTGGCTGCTTCATAGAGGTTGGACTGTAAATTCTCCCTACCAGTGATATGAGAAGTGTATGTAGACCTGAAATGTGAATTTATATGCTGCAATACAAATTCAGAAGGGATGACTGGAGGAAATGACTGACATGTGGATGCTGCTGTAGTCATCTTCCTTAACAAAGCTTCTTTTCCGTTAAGCAAGAATTCAGCAATGTTTTTAATCCATCAAAAATGATTTTTGTTCAAGCAAGAACAAGCGCCTCGTCCAACTGATTGAACCTCAATTTTTGGTATAGAGGTTGACGTCTTACTTAAACGCTCTGGCGTTTCCCGTTCTCTTGAGAAAATAATGCATAAGCAGTGAGGAATTTCAGCCACTTACCCCCACTGGTCATATGAGTTGATATCCCAGATAACTCCCTGACAAAATATCTTGTGTTCATACATAGCTGAGGAAAAGAGCAAGCGCAACAGTAAGTGACGCAGTTATTATCATTATTATGATACCTGTATTTTTGTCTTTCTTCCTCATGTTTGCCTTTGGTTTAGTTCAAGCTTCACACGAAAATGGATGTAAAAGAAAAGGAACTAAACCTGGTTAACGTTTAACCTTTCTTGCGTCAATAGCTTGTGGCATGGGGAAGAGACAAATATGTATTTACGTTCTACAGATTTCTCTGGTCCCAAAGATCTTACAAACTCCAGCGGTTCGTAATGTTACTACTAACTTCCTATTTTCCACTCTTATTATATAGCTGAGAAAATTACTTCATTGTGATTGGCTGAGAGCAGGCCAATTTGTCGTTAATTCTTAATTTGCACCCAAGTGCAAATTAACGTGCACGCGTCCGCAATTTTCTTAGTCATATAATAAATGAGCAATCGTAGGAAAGCTCGAGCATTTAAAACGATTTACACTACTCGTGACATTTTCAAATTGCACTTGCCTAAAGGCTCGTGCATTTTGAGAGAATTTTCAAATATCACTCGTCGTGTAAATCTTTTATTGCATTCGCATTCATATGATTACCTATACATGTGATTCCGCCGAAGTAGTCCTCAATAGTTCGATCATTCATCGAATATATTTCACAAAACTTCTTCATAATGCTATTAAAAGTGTAACTTACCGATCAAGGCGCCCAGGATAAAGGGAGTCAGCTTTTGAAACAATATGGAATTAGTGGGCTTATTTCCGGCAAATACCTGCAATGGAATCAGAGAGCTGGTCATGACTGTGCTATAGAACCTCGAACATATCGTATCTTTTTAAAAGCAATTTCCACATAAGTAATAAGTAATAAGTAACGTTCCTAGTTATCTTTCAACATGTTTCCAACACAAAATACGTCGACTCTTTATCAAAGACGATTAATATTAAGAAATCCTAGTTGACCTTTTCACGCGTACAGCATTCTTAGACGCCATGCTGAGTTACTGAGCTCGCTGTTACGAACTAAGAAATGTGTGCAAGAAATGTTAGATCCTTTTTTTTATATCTATCAGCTATAATTGTATCTTTTCAATCGACGGAAGCATTACTTTACTAAGGTAGAAACAAAGAAGTTATTTAATAATGAACCAAAGAAACAAGAGTGTCAAAACGGGGGACGAGTTAGACGTATTAAAGGAGCTCAGCCACGGTATTTTGAGTTATTTTGGCCACGTACAAAACTACCTTTAAATGGTAGGAAACCTGAAAATAATAATTTCTTCAGATAGAAAAACACTTAAGAGACTATAATAATAAACCACAAAGGAACAAGGATGGTTGAGGATAGAGAAGACTGACACGGATTACAAACGAAGAACTTGAAAAAAATAGGCTAACCTTTTAGACGATGCGCAAACCGTGACGTAACTACTTTAAGAAAGATGAACTTACGTGACACGCCTACTTTACCTACTGCGACTAAAGACCAGAGCAGATAATACCTTATGGGGCAAAATCCTCTCCAATGTTTCTCCTGTCTTTCCACTCTTCTCGAGCTCTGCGCGGGCTTCCTCGCTAGTCTTTCCTTTCATCAGGGCCTCGGGTTGGGCCAAGAAATTGGCCAAAAGAATCTGCCATAAATTAAAATGAGAGTTTACCAGGAAATATTTGTTTACTTTAAACTGAGCATGCACGAAAGTTGGGAGTGCAAAAATCATTTCCCGCAAGACACTGTACCTTGTGATGTAATCCACCACGAATAGGATTCTGGGTCTCGA